CAGAAAGGTGATGACGTATCTATCCAAAACAAAGATCCTGACAGGGGTTTCTATGGAATCGATCACAGCATATTTTCTGGCTTTCTGTTGTATGAAGATTTCTCTATCCAAGCTGTTGTTGGAAAATAAATAAATGCGTATATATAAAACGTGTTGATAATCATTTTGTAGTGTTGCATGAACGTTTTTCTTCCCAGTTATTCTTATGCACAAAATCGTGCTGTCTGTGCCAAACTACGAGAATAATCATAGTATACGATTAGCAATATATATGAGACGACCTTTAATGGGATTAAATTTGTATTTAATCTTTTAACAAGAACATGTGATTATTAATATGCATATTTCCTGTTGGTAGTGGCTTGTGTTACATAGTCATCTAGGAGACCAGACTTTTATGTTATTTAATTAATTCATTTATATTGGAACTGAAGCAAGTAGATTTTGACATTTGAATTGTCTATTGAAGTGTCATATGATGTTAATTGCACTTGATTCGTATTTGATGTTCATATATCAATTGGCTTACATTGTTATTTATTTAATGTTTACATTCAATACTTGATTTATTGTAGTGATTCGAAGTTTTCATTATGAATATATCACAACAAATCATAAATAACTGTAAATTTCAATCCATTATTATTATTATCGCGACTTGTAAATACTTACCTAAAAAGAAAAGAATATATTGTTAATTAATTGCCTTTATTATTTCTAATTGGAACCAGTCCACAGTTATTTGCCTTTCGTTGACCACAATAAGGAAGTAAATCCGCATAAAAGAGTGTCTGTGTTGAATGCCAGATATAAATGAATAATTGAATGAAAGAGATAGAAAAAAGGACATTTTCTGACAGAATTCATTTCAAATAGTTGGTAAATGCCAATTTTGATCCAGATTTTATGTGAGTAAGTATTTTTTAGTGTTTTTCTACATGACAGAATTCACATGGTTCCGGCTAATTACTGAAAACTGTCAGACTGATGTATTTTGGACTGAAATGCTTTGAAAAAATGATGAATGACCCCTAGTTTGCTATAGCTGGAATTATTTATCTTGGATGATACTGTAAGCACAAGTGACTTTGATTTGATTGGACAGTTAGTAAAATTGCCACAGGGTTTAATTTTTTATATAGAACATATAGTGAAATTAATTAGTGTCTGAGGCCAATTAATACATGGCGGAGACTGCGCCAAATTACCACAAAGAATAACTAACGCAAAGAACGCTCAACTTTTTTTATAGGGGTGCCTTCATCAACCTCACATAATCTTGGTAGTCATGATCATCAAAGTCATCATCATTCATCGTAAAATAAATGTAGCCAACAGGACAACGCTGCACACATCGTCTATTTGACAGAACCGGTAAATTACATTCAGTAATATTTAGGGGGCAGGGGACCTAAAAATGAAAAGAAAATGTATTTCAGTGTGACCAGAAACACAATTCCAAATATTTCAACATCTGTTTCACTGGCAGATAACCAGTTGCACAGCATTATTCATTGATATATGACATACATTGAAGAAAATAATAGTTTGCATGCATTGCTCCTTCAAAAAAAGACTGACAGCAATTTATTGTTACCCTCACCCAGCCAAAATCACTCATAAAATATACCAATATGGGCAATCTTCATGAAGGTGCAGCATACTCCAGAATCCGCCCGATTCCTTTAAAAATATCAGTAACACGCAGTGAAAGCTAAGGTATTTTCAGAAATGACCAATAAAGTGTCTGTCATAATTTTAGATTTTTCACAAAACTTATCTGAAATTTCTTACATGTCAATGCTTGATTTTTAACTTTTTCACCTCCATTCGGAGGACATACCAAGCTACCAAAATGCTTAGTTTCGGGTAAAAACCCAAAAATACTTCTCATTTCCTACACAAAAACAAGAAAGAATTACAATGACAGAGAAATATCAGAAGTTATCTGTACCTTCAAAACACCATGTCTGAGTAATAAAGGATTTGAACGTGGCCATCATTGCAATATGTCCCCTGTCACCTTAAGATTTTTTATGTGATCCGCATTAAAGCGTTTCCTTTTATTTTCTTAAAATATAAAGTATTTCGCATCAAACGTTAACTTCGAAAAGTGTGTACTGCAGTTACTTTGTATTTAATCAAAGATCTAAAAAAGACCCTATTTTAGGGGAAGTAACTAGTACAATGGCCATGCCTGTTATATGATTTACTCAATATCAAGTGCCAGGAACCTGTGAGATGGTCACTTTTCTGTATTCCATCTTCATTTAAATACCATAAAGTATTTTCAGAGTATTTAAAGTCTTTTGGAAGGAGATTATAGCAATAAGCTTATTATTAAATGTAATTGATATTCACATTTGAAGCATATAATTATGTTCTCATATATTCATCATAAAACACCCCAGGCAAAGCTGCATGAATCGGGGTATTCAAGTCATGCAGTGAATGTTTCAGGTTGTAGTCAAAGGTAAAGGTCAATTTGATCTTTGCCACAAAAAACATGTAGAATACATAATTTAGCAATGCTTTGGCTTACTACCTTCAGATTTGGCAGGGAGGTTGTCCTTGAGCTCTAAATGACCACTGTTGATTCTGACAAAGTGGTATGCGGGGGTATTCACGCCATGACAGTGGCAGTTCTAGTTAAAGTCGTATCCTAATTGACATAATGATGAAGCATAGAGTTACAGAGCAAAAATCAATCTGATTTTAATGATTGACAATAGTTTGTTGTAAATGGTCAAGACTGCAAATGCCACAACACAAAGTTATCTGCTATGAGGATTCAATGACATGTCTTTGATCTCATGCTTTTAATATTTCATGATTTAATCGTTTAAAATCTTAGACAAAAGATACACTTTTATCTTTGGATTTGAAGCGTTTTAGTGTAATATTTATAGAATGCTTCTGACACGTTTTACGGATTGATAGGTGCATTGTACCCATGTTACTCATCCACTGCAAGCAAGTTAATGTTCTGACTTCGAAAGCACATGCCATAATTGACAAAACATTGACTTGTGGCATCATAGTGTTGATGATTTTATTTCAAAATTTTTGAAATGGAAGATCACTGAAAACAATGGAAACCAGGCCATTCGATGGATCTTGGACATATTTGGCCTGTAACATTCTTGTATTGAAATAGTTTTCTTTTACATGTTGTAACCTTGGACAATTCTAAGAACAGCCGACGCTGATAAGGAAGAAGAAATATTAATGATAAGCAAGAATATTGCCAAACAATTTGTATATGTACATGTTTATACAATGACCATTATATTTAAACCTTTATGTATACTTATACCTTTATATATATACATTGTTATTCATTGTTCAAATATAATGTGTCATTCCATAAACAAATGATTGAAAACATAACCCTTGACCTAAGTGGACAATATTGACAATATGTCAGGGTCGTATGAAGTAAAATATCAAAAGTCTATGCTTATATTAGCCTATATGTAATTTTTGTGTTTGCCCTACTTTTCTGTCTAAAAGAAGGGCCTGAATTTAATAATTTCTGAATGTCTACTTCGCATAAACTGGCTTTTAACTGTCTATTCATATAAACATTGCAATTCAGCATGCGTATTTTATTCAGGCCTCTACAATCCTGGTAAATTCATGATACCAATATGCACCTATCAATATTATGTCCGGGGGGGGGGGGGCGGCGGGCTGACCCAGGGGAATTTGACATCTTTAAATGTTTGAAGTCTAAATCCCCACCCAACAGATAACCAATTTTGTCTAAATCCCCACCCTTGAGCCTGCTTGGTGCATCAAATACCCCGGGGGTAGGGGAGAGGGTAAATATCTAATAGATCAATCAATAAATAAAACTGTTATCAGAACAACAATGAAAAATATAAGTACAAAGGCTTATCATTAGGAAAATAATGAATCCAGATTAAAAGGCCTCAGAAGTAAGGTAGGTATAGTCACTCCCAATGAATATATATGTATCAATTGTAGTTTAATAACTTTGATAGTATTCAAATAAAATAATTAGACTTTGAAGATACTTATATGTTTTTTATAAGTTTTCAAGTAATAAAGGGGCATTATTCTGAAAATAATGCATAAATGTTTTAGACCTTCTTAGTATGGTAGTGGTAGTCCCACTAAATACCGTACCTAGTTTCAATTAAATATCTTTCATGGAATAGAATGTTTGACTTAAAAAACTTAAACCAATGCGGACACGGACACACAATCGATCGTATAAGCTCTTTAATATTTTACATTTATTGTTTAGCTACAAAATAAACCTACTAACCTAGTTTCTGACTCCACATGACCCAGTTTCTGTAGGGATGGTTAGGATGCTGACCAAGCTAAATTATAATTGAACCATATCTGTGGCCTCTTAGAGTGTTAAAACACTAAATGTTGAGACACCAGATTTGCGAAGACAGACATTCACCGGTCATGATTTCAATAGCTTCGTGCTAACAGCGAAGATGAGCTAAAAACTTACAACACTTTAACTTCTAATTTTATTTTAACATTTAACACAAAAAGTCATTAAAAAGACATTCTTCCTCTTCCTGCGGCCAAACCTAGACACTTCCTCATTGTTTGTCTGAAATAGAGGGCATTTTTATAATCTTTAAGGTTTCAAATTTATTAAGTTTCATTTAAATTAGACCAAAAATGTTCTAAGATTTGACTTTATGACTTAGATTTTGGCCCCTTCATGACTTAATTTTGAACATGTTCTAGATTTCATAGAGTTGAACATTTACACTAACTTTAATGAAAAATGGGCCAAAAATGTGGCCTCTAAAGTGTTTGCATTCTTTTTCTAAGATTTGACCTAGTGACATAGTCTTTGACCCCACATGACCCAACCTTGAACTTTGCCGAGATTTCAGCCAAACATTTTGACCAAGTTTCATGGAGAAACGACAATTATAGCTCAACACAAAGCTACAAAAAGAACTGACATAATTTTCTTAAGCTAAGTTGCATGGTGTACTCACAATCTGGTGCACTTTCCTGAAGAGCCTGGATAGGAGCAGGAGCCTGGATGGGAGCTTGAGTCGGGATATATAGGAGCTTGAACCTTGATAGAAGCTTGGGCATGGATAGAAGCTTGAACCTGGATTGTTTAAAAATTAATTATTTAGTAGCACACCTTAACAAAGATTTCCAACATATATTTTTGATAGATAAAACAGTAGGTTGTTTTTAATTCTATTGGAACAAAAATGGTACTGATTTTTTTTTTTTTTTTTTTTTTTTTTAAACACATTATTTTCTAACAATTCTGCTGGTACTAAGTCTATCAAACTAATCTTGCAATTATGGTGGGGAATCACGTGATATGGAGACCGCATGACATGGTATTGCAGCAATTGATAATCTTTCAGATTCTGGTGTCCATGTGAGAATTTTGTCAATATCTTTGTTTAACACAAAAATATTTTGGAGTATGCGTAACTGACAGGACTTGCAATAGCCCCCAGCAACATTATAAACAATATTGTGCTTTTTCAGGAGAATCCACCAATTTTAAGTTTAAAGGAACATAATGCTTTTGTGAGTAAAATTTCAATTACTGAATAAACATATCATACTTATCCTCATATTGAAGAAAATGGCTCATTTCTGCATTACTATTCTACAGAAATTATTTTTTCATCAAAACATACCTCCAATTATTACATTTGCGCTACATGAGCGCAATATATTTATAGCGTATTTTGAAGATTTTCTTTCATGTCTGTAAGAAATCCAATACAAATTTTTACATCAGAATTCTACTTGATGTCATTGGTGTGAAACTGAATACTCTTTATTTCAAATAAAATAGATAAATACAGAATCCCTAAAGAAAGCCCAACACGGCAAAATTGAAAATGTTGCAGGCTCGGTTTGATTGAGTTTACAAATGCATAATGGGACTTTAAAATACCATGTTACGTCCCAGGTCACCATATCAATGATTCCCCACCATGTCAATGATAAAATACACATATTTAGACCACAGAAGTGCAATACCCCTTATATGTTTTGTATGGCTTTCAGAAAAAGAGTTTTCTTTTTGGCCTCAGACTCATTTAATGTTGAGGCAATCATTTATGAAATTCAACTCATAATGTCATTGTGCCTGAATACCTTTTTCAAAGACCGTGTTTCGGACGCCTTTGCCTTGCCCCTTTTTTCTGTTGGCAGAAACACTCGTCAAATGGTCCAACCAAATGTTCACCTGTTTAAATATAAATCAATATTTTAATACATTCACATTTATCAAATAAGAACAAAGCCTTAACATAGTTTCTGCAGATTCAATTTACTTTTTATTAGAGCAAGTCACGACCGAAAAGCAATACAAGACCAATGAAAATGAAACCGACAGCCAAGATTCAAAGCCTCGTTATGACAAGCAGTTGAAACAGTAAATGATAAAAAACAATGATGGTAATACATCTGAAAAAAGGATATTATTATTTTATTTAGATCTGTTTTGACATACATTGTATTTAAATGCATTTTCTTATTTTATTAAAAATCATATTCTAACAGAGACATAGATAACAGAGTTAGGCTTCTTCCGAGCCAGTTAAAATATCACGCATGCCTGCTAAACTTAAAACTTGTAGCAAGTAAAACTTATTAACCAGATATCAAAATCAGTAAAATAATACATTTTCTGAAAACTAATGCATTTGTCTATTGCTGCAGCCTGCAGGTAAAAATATTTACAGTTCCCATTAAAATAAATGTTACATCATTTTTTAAAGAGAGTTTCTTGATATTTTTTGTTACAAAATTCATGTGACAAAAAAAATGGCTCACTTTTAACATGCAGTCATAGATGAAAGATTTACCTTTCAAAGAAATGGTATATAATATTTAAGGATCAAATGTACATCCATTAAGTTTTATTTGCTACAAAATGCCTAATTTTTCACTTTTTGATAGGCATGAGTGATATTTCAATGGAGAATATAAGAGCTGCTTATCTCTATGTCTCTGATTCTAACAAGGCTCACGGGAACTACTGACTTGGAGTCCTGTGACTTCAGCCTTTGGATTTTGACTCCCTTGCATGGATGCGCAAGCTGATCTGAATCTACACTGGTAGCATAGGTGTTAAAATAATTATAAAGTGAATAATTTATAACATAATTCTGTGTGTATGTATTCAACATCCGTTTTGTGTCACTTGATCAGTTCATTCATACTGCAGTTAAATGGATTATCTCAATCGATACGACATTTTCTGCTGTATTCGTTAATATTCTACAGGCAAAGTGAACGTTCTTTTGTGGATTTTGTATTATTAATACGAGATATGTGTCAGTTTCATGTGATTTCCAACGCCTTTCAGACTCGCAAAATAAATGCGTCTATTCGCGAAAACAGATGACAAAAATGAAAACCGCTAGGCTCCTCATAGTGTCTGGGTAGAAAACAAATGAAGAAGACAATCGCTGTATACCTTTGCAAATAAATCCCAATTCTTATCCAACAATTTTCTCTACCGTAGAAAAAATCGAAAAGTTTCATGTCTGCAACTTCAAAAACACGAATAAAAATATTGTTTTTAACAATGATGCTATTAATGAGTGACTGAAATGACAAGGTAAGTGAAAAAAATAAATGTTTTAAACCTTTTAGCTGTTAAAATGCTTTGAGCTTGCTCAGGGTGAGCTTTTAGGATCGTTGAATGTCCGTCTTTCATATTCTGTTGTCCGTCGACCGTCCACATTTGTTCGTTAACACTCTAGCGGTCACATTTTTGCCTCAATCATCATCAAACTTTGTCAGGATGCTTGTCTAGGTAATTCACGGTGCATATCCATATCAGTTCCCTCTTTGCGACATCTACTCAAACGGTACCCTCTTTGAACATGCTAAGGTCATTTTCTGCTAAAAACAAACCAGCGGTGGATAACAATCAAGTAAAATTTCATTGTAATAAGGAAAGGAAGTATGACCCGTAGAAAAAATGTATACCACGGAACATTAGAATGTTTTATTTATGTGCTGATTTGTGCTGATCTGAAAGTTTGTTTTAATGTTTTCTAGGTCAAGTTTGAATATGGGTCGCCTAGAGTAAAAAACTAGGTCACACTGCTCAAATATGGAAAAGCCTTCTTAACACTCTTTTTTGACTCAACTGTCATGAAAATTGGTCATGATGCTTGTCTAGGTAATTGCTCACATGTGTTCGATGGATCATGTGAGCAATCTAGGGCCATCTTGTTTCTTATTAGCGTTTAACCATTACATAAAAATAAAACCCTAGGATGGAACTTATTCAATACCAGGGGTTTAAATTTGAACAAATTTGGTAGATGTTCACTATGTCATGTCTCATACAAAATATCAAAGCTGTAGGTCATGCAGTTCTGAAGAGGAATTGAAAGAAGTGTACTAGGTTTGCTTTATGTAAAGTATCAAAGTTCTTGGCCTTTCAGGCTAGGTGATGAAGAGGTTTTTTTCTCACTATAAATCTCTATACAAAACTATGTGTAGGGTATGGTCATTTTGACGTAGGATGTCATGATTAAAACAAATACTTCAATTTTCACAGGTGCATTAGTCTTGGGCAGAAGATAACACTTATTGAATTAATGGTTAAAGGTCAAAGTCACGTTGACCTTGTACCTAAAAAGGGTACTGGCCAATAACTCAACAACCTCTTTTGTCACTAGGTCAACCTGTAAAACATGACTCATTGGCTGTCGAACGTGGGCAAACATGTGTTACAAGCATATCCTGTTCTCTTTATCTTTGTTATATATGAGTTTTTCTTGACCTCGACACATAAATGCACTTTGCGATAACATTTTTGTATATCTTAGTTTCTTAGCCACAATTTCCTATTTTTTTTTAATTTCAACGTCAAATTTACACAGTAAATGTCCTATAGCTAATGTCCAGCATGACTGGTGGAGCAAACAACCTTGACCACTCTGCCAGAGACACGTCTTTCCTTCAGTTAAGACATTAAAGAAGATTTTGTTGAACTTGACCGTGATCTTAATGCTTTTACCTGGCCTTGACCTAACTTTGACCTTGCACCTAATGGTCAGATAAGAGAATTTTACTAAAGAAAGGCCATAACTTTTAGAATAAAACTAACATATTTAGGAATTCAAATATGACTTTGACCCATAAATGACATTGACTGTCAAAAATATTGAATTTAGCTAAGACTGTCATCACGTTGTTTTCTATTTATGGATTTAGTTGATAATTTGGCACAACAAGCATGTTTAATAATTCATAAAGGGTCTTGACCTTTATTTGATAAAACATCTTTGAAGTTTGCTAAAATTGTCATAGTTTTGTTATCTATTTACATATTTGATTCATGAACAAAAGAACACATAATGACAAAACCGACATTATTCTGATATGACTTCGGCCTTTAACTGACCATTACCTTCAATGTTAAACAATTGAAATTT